ATCAATGGCAAGGTTGCCGCCGGTCAGCCTTGCCATTGATTTCTCACGGCGGCGCGTCACGGGACGGCGCGCCGTCGCCTCCCCTCCCTCGCACGCGTACACACGGGCGCGGAGCGGCTATAAAAGCCGGCGGTTCTCGCCGGTGCCCACACCAGACTCGCCCCTCGCCGCCGCCCAGCCCCTCTCTCTCCGTCTCCGTCTTCCTCTCGCGAGCGCCACCGGCAGCCCCTCTCTCTCTCCCTCTCTATCACCGCCGAGCCCGTCGCCATGGCAGAGCGCTTCCCCGGAGATGAGACGGCGGCGAACGGTTTCGGCCGCCGTTCGCTCCGCGAACAGGAGTCCTGGCTCCTGTTCCAGGCGAACATCCCGGCGCCGCCGGACATGCGCGCCGGGCCGACGGGGTGGCGGCTCAGCGACGGGGGAGTGCCCGTTCCCCCGTTACCCGACGCCGTGGCGAAGCCCACGTACTTCGCCGAGGAGGTCGAGGTTGCGCGCGCCTCCCTGACCGACGACGAGCGCTCCCTCCCCCAGTACGCCGTCGGCAATCACGCGGCTTGGGCGGCGTACTTCCAGCGCCGCCAGCAGCAGCGCCTGGCCTCCACCAACGACGCGCCGGTGGTCGGCGGCGTGAAGAACAGCGTGGGGCGCCACCTGTGGTGGGGCGTCCCCGGCCGCACGCTGGATGGCGTGCTGGCGCACCTTGACGGCGGCAACAACCCGCCATTGACCTATCCTGCGACGGGGGCCGCCCCGTCGCAACACCGACGCGCATGGGCACCAAGGAGGTTCGCCTCCTCCTCATCTTCCTCCTCTCGCTCATCTTCCCACTCCTCCGGTTCTCCGGCGCTTCTCGGCGTCAAGGCCGAGCCCGCGGCGGAGACGCCAATCGGTCGGCGCACTCGCAGCGTCGGCAACGTCATCAACGAGGGCGGCCGGCGCGCCCCCTCCTCGTCGGCTCCTCCGCGCTTCGTCAAGCCGAAGATGGAGCCGGGGCTGGCGCCGGTGAAGACGGAGCCGGGGCTGGCGCCGGTGGAGGCGGAGTTCGACGACGACGACGCGGCCCTATAATGGGCGCGCCAGGACTCCATTGCGATGGAGAAGGCGCGCCGGGAGAAGGAGAAGGAGCGCTAGTGCGCCGCCCTGCGCCGCTTCGAGG